TACTTACTTACTTACTTACTTACTTACTTACTTACTTACTTACTTACTTACTTACTTACTTACTTACTTACTTACTTACTTACTTACTTACTTGGTATCAGATATAAGGGGTGGCTGTGGTGTATTGGTAGAGCAGCCGGCTTTGGGACCCGCAAGTCACAGGTTCAACTCCCCGCCATGCCTACATGCCGTTGTGTCCTTGGGCAAGACACTTCACCCACCTTGCCTGCTGATGGTGGTCAGAGGGGCCAGTGGCACAGCATGGCAGCCCCGCCTCTGTCAGTCTGCCCCAGGGCAGCTGTGGCTACAATGTAGCTTACTGCCATCAGTGTGTGAGTGTGAATGAATGATGCATGAAAAATTGTAAAGCGTCTTTGAGGGTCTCAAAAAGCGCTATATAAAACTAATGCATCATTATTATTATATTAAATAATGTGTACTCCACCACATCATAAATCTTTTATGGTACATTAAGGTTATAATAATCCTGTCCACAGTAGATTTAAGTAATGAGTTTTCTGAATGATAGTGTTTAGCTCAATGCTGCATGAAAGCAAGGGCAGGAGGATAAAAACCTCCCAAACACCTTTAAAAACTTGGAGAAAGTTCCTTTCTTTGAAAACAACTTCACTTTTTCTAGCATCATATCACTGCTCTGTGCTGTCTGAACACAACCTCTTCATGTTTTCGTTCACGCTGGCTCTTTTTGTGTCATGGCTCCAGCTTGTGTGCCCTCCCCTGTGGGCTGAACCCCTGACCCCAGTTTGTGACAGATCATGATGCCCTGCAGGGCCGTGGAAGTCCTGGGAGAGATGATCCATGTGTCATCTGCTGCACGAGGCAGATACAGTTTTGCACCAGGTGGCCTCCTGACAACCTGTGTGTGCTGTCACACACTCACACACACACAAATGCACACACACCTGAACTCACACAAAGCAATGGTCCAGACCATCTGTCTAAAAAACATGTTACACAACAGGTCGTTCCAACTGAAGTTTGATTGGTTACAGACACAACCAGACTAATCACATTTACTTCTCTGGTTGTTATGCTGAAATTTCACCCACTTTGTGATGATTTTTGTCTTAAAGGCAGTACTTTATAATCCTGAAAATAATCTGTGCAGTCATTAACATATTCATCTATAAAAAAGGATAAATATTTTTATTTCTTTCAGCGGGGAAAATATCTTCAATCCTCATCTTGTACTGTTATATTTATCTGAGCATCAGTTCTTTACATGAGCTATTCTTTTTGTCCTCTTGGTGGCACTCTCCACTGCGCCACATCCAAAACTTCTATAACCCATTTAATATTCTGACCAGTCAAAGCCAGTTTGCTCTCCTAATGGGAAATGTCTGATAACATTGAATAACCTGGCCTGGGAGGTATTATACTGAGGAGGAAGAAAAGTTTACCCAAAGTTTATCAGTTTGACACCACACTTCCAGCATCTTCTACGTGAAAAGCTCTGTTTGATGTGAGAGGAACTTCATCCATTCGTCTTCATCTTCAGTCCATCACAGTGTGTGAGGTGAGGAGAATCAAGACTGGCGACTGATGAAAAGTTTAAAAGAACACTTAGTTAAATTCAGATAAATTAAAGTCTCTTTAATGATAAATGTTTGTGCTTTAAATGAATGCCTCTCCACAAAGACAATAAAGTAAAAGAAAGCATAAATTTAAATCTGATGCTTATACAGCTTGAAAAAAATGTCATTTTCCAAAACTACACTCAAAAAACAAATGTTTTGAATTTATTTAACCAAGTCATGCCAACAATTGCCACTTAGCTGAGTGGAGTAATGATAAAGCAACTTTCACATTTATTTTTAAAGAAAATGTGAAAGTTGCTTTAATTTCACTTATGTAAATATAACAATCTGTTTTTTGAGTGTATATGTTTCCATTTATCTCTATTTCTCAGCAGCTGCTCCAAATATGCAGGCCTGTCTTGTGGCTTATTTTAACACATAAATTCATACCTTAATTAATGTAGCAAACAAGTGGAAAAAAATGGGGGTTTTCTTTTAACAAATCATTGCAATGTATTATCTTGGATTCCACAATGTGAGTCTTTTGTTCTTGCAAGAAAAGTGTTTTTTATTTCTATATCGCTAAAACAGATTGTGTTGACACAGTCAGCAAACAGAGTTAGATTATTTTACTCTGAAACAGCTATGTGTTTCCATCATGCTGAGGCTTTTTCAAGCATTCTTCTATTTACTGTAGTGTTGCAGGTGTTACCTACTCCATCCATACTTCTTTATTCGTTCCCATTATTACCATTCACAAAACAAATAGTGTTAATGACACCAGGTCTCAAACATTTCCATCAAGTTCAGACGATGTGGGCATTTTACACTCAGCATCAGAACACTCAGGTCTTTGTTGTCTGCACTGTACATTTTCAAAACGTCTCTGTCACAAACACATCAGCAACAAAAGTGACAGAAGACAGAAAGAAAAATCTGTTTTTTTAAGTAAACTCCAGGTTTTAACAGACAAAAGACAGAGACACACTTTAAAACCAGAAGTGAGCAACAAGTTACAATTCAGTTCAAAAATACTTTATTGATCCCAGAGGGAAATTAGGTAATTAGGTACATTTACTCAGTTACATTTACTTAAGAAACTGTTTTTTTATTTAAAACTAGTACTTTTATGAGTAGTTGTATTACACCATACTTTTTTATTTTACTTGAGTAATAATATTATGAAGTACCACTACTTTTACTTGTCAAACTTTTTGGAAGACTTTGCCCACTGTAATTAGCAATGAACATGTTTTAACAAAAGGTACAAGAGAGACAGATAAGATAAGATAAGATAAGATAAGATAAGATAAGATAAGATAAGATAAGATAAGATAAGATAAGATAAGATAAGATAAGTATATTTTCATAGCACATTGTACAACAAAACTGAGCAGCATTTCTCCAGTGTTACACGTCTACTAGTTGTAAAATTAACAACCATGATAAACTTTAGATGAAGGAGATGTGTTGCACTGCTTGAGGCTGATGGTGGTCCCACCAGATACTGACTGGTTTTCAGAACCCCACCCACCCCAAATAAAGCAAATCAGCACATTTCAGAGTGGCCTTTTATTGTGTCCAGCCTAAAGCACACCTGTGTAATAATCATGCTGTCTAATCAGCATCCTCCTGATATGCCACACCTGCGAGGAGGACTCGATTGTCTCTGCAAAGAAGAAGTGCCCCCCTCACACAGATTTACACACATTTCCGAACAATACTTAAAGAAAGAAGGTCTGTTGTGGACAAAAAAAGTTATTTTGTAGTTGTGTTATTTATTTGTATGAACTTTCTTCATTTTAAAAAACACCAGCACTTGCACACAACTTTCTATTTTTGTCAGTCGTATGACAGATGTTATTATGATCAGTTACTCAGTTGTTGAGTAGCCTCTTCACAAAATACTTGAATAATTTCTTGGACATCTAATTTTTACTTTTACTTGAGTAAAAAATATGTTGAAGCAGTGCTACTCTTACTTGAGTATAATGTTTTGGATAACCACATCTGTTTAAACTTAATGAACAACCCCTGACTGTCTCACTCTGTTCACTTTCTTTAATTAAATAACTGTTGGTGCTGCTCCAACCCATGGCTGCAAAACAAACTGTCCTCAGAGATTTATAGAAGATTTGCTAATTGTTAATTTTAAAAGCTGAAAACTTCCTCAAGAAGAAGAATTTGCTCTTTAGTCCAGGTGAACACCAAGGTATCTGTAGGCCCTGATCACCTGCATTTCTACTCTCAACACAAAAATTAGAGTTTAGCTGATTGGCGTGCAACATCTTGGTCCACCAGTTTCTGTGCTCGGCCTCTTCTCACAAACCTCACTGCTGCAGAGTCGTTTGAGCTTTTTTGCAGATTTAGAAAATACTGAGAATATGATCCTCTAGTGGTCACAACTTTGGTAGTAATGAAAAAAAAAGTAAAAGGTTATGCCAGCTGTACTTTCCTCATTTCCTGGAAAAGTTCATGAAGAAACTTGCAGAAGCTTCTTAGCTCTGTGAGGTGATATTGATATAGTTTTGCTGCACGGTGGAGTTAGATATCATGTAAACCTTTAAATGCAAGAAGGATTTTTAAAACAACACGCCCTATTCAGTGCAGTCTTTACTGTAAGTATCACTGAGATCATATTTCCTTTGCTTTTCGTGCTCAGACTTCCACCTACTGTACTGTAGTCAGTGTGTGGAAAAAAATTAAGATTTAAAAAGCTACCCCCAAAAAGATCTGTTAATATAACACTGTTGAATGATGTCCTAAAAAAGTAGTTGCAGTGCAGTCACAAAGACACACACACACACAAACTTGTTTTTATATCCTTGTGGGGCCTGTCCATTGACTTCCATTCATTTTTTGGTAATTTTATATCCTAACCCTGACCACAAACCCTAAACTAACCTCACAGTTACCTGACCCTAAACTAACCTCACAGTTACCTACCTGACCCTAAACTAACCTCACAGC